CACACACACACACACTGACCCCCACATCTTCAGCTTTACTGCGTGGCCATAAACCAAAGATAACACAAACAGCTCCTAAATCAACACACCAGATTGAGCAGTACCAACATCACAGCCGTCAGACAGATTCACTTCTCATTAGCAGCTCTGCAACCCTCTTAACCTGCCAAATCCAGCATCCGTAGGTATTTTATGTTGTCAGACTTATAAAGACATATGAATGAGGCTTTAAGAATGTGACTTCGTAGTTACTGCATGCTTTAAGTTGTTTTGTTTGGGAACTTGCATAGTTTGTGGTGTTCAGCAATGCTTTGTCTTTCTTGTTGGCCAATGTGGGATGGGCCTTTGCAGTGGTAAGAAAATAAAAAGAAAAAACTCCATTCATTTATTATTTGTACAATGAACAAAGACTACTCAGTTTAATATGAAAAGGGATTGGATTCATTGCAGCTCACCTGCTCACTGGTCCAAAGACCTGTTTCTGAGGTGGTGTTCACTTATGATAATTAGTTTTATGCCTTTACCACAAAAGATGGTTTTCTCTGAAGTGAGTCAGGGCCTTTGCTAAAGGATAAGGTCATTACTTGTTGCAATAAAACAAATGTGTAATATATTTAAATATACATATATACCTCTGTTGCACTAAATATAGCGCTGTGGTTAAAGATGTGCTCCGTACTCCCCTTCTGTGAAATGTAAATCAAGTCTGTCAAGTCTCACCTGTCCTCATTGACAATGCTAATGTCATCTAACTTCCTGAGCTCTGAAAATAATAGATCTTTGTTCATGTTGCCTACAGGGTTAATGACATTTCTCCTTCATAAGAACAACAGTGACACGTAACAACTTTGGAAAGCTTTTTGAAAAACGAGTAGACGTTGTGTCATTTTTGCACTGAAGGTGAAAGTTTTCAGCTTTGCAGTATAGTCGCTTTACTTATTTAACAAATTTCCCACCGTCCAAATAGAAAAGCGCTCACATGTAATTGTAACATACAGTTCTTTCCACCATGTTCAGTGCTGTAAATTTGACAATGTGACACCACTGTGAATTTATTCTTCTCTTTGACATCCAGGCGGTTATTCTGCAATGTATCAAAGCTTTAAATACAAATATTAGGGTCAAATGTGCCCTACAAGAACCATCTAAAGACAGAGGGAGTCATAAGTTGTAGAGGTTGTAATAGTCTTTGAGGGACATTTGTGATCTTAGACTATATAAATGAAGTTGAATGGACTGTTTTGGCATTCAGATATTCTGGACAACTTACTTCCAAACCGTCACTTAGTCTGCACTGCCCTTAGAAAGATTTAAAGAACCCGTGTGTACGATTTGGTGGCATTTGCTGTGAAGCTGCAGATTGCAACAGTGGCTGTGAAACGTGAAAGGCCCTATCCAGAGCCAATGTTTGGTTTGTCCGTTCTGGGATACTGTAGAAACATGGCAGTTCAACTACTGCTCTCTCTATAGATAAAAACGTCTCATTCTAATGTAACAAAAACACAATTTTCAGGTGATTTTACACGAATTACACGATTACATGAAAACATACCTGTAATTATTATATTCCATTTCTGCCATTAGATCCTCCTAAATGTTACACACTGGACCTTTAAACAATCTTGAAGCTTGACCTGGGTTTTAGGTGTAATCTGAGGCAATCACTTGTGTGTGTAAGAGGAAGGCAGGTCAGGGTAGGCTGTGTCTAAACAGGCTGTGTGCCCTGAAGCCTTGTTGTATTGCAGGAGATAGGGGTCACCCTCCATCTCCTCCTCTTTGCTTCCTTCCTCCTTTTCTCTCTTCTCTCACTTTAGCTATGATATACCACCATCAATGACCGGCATCTGCCCTCCTCCTCCCTTTCCTCCTCCTCCTCCTCCTCATGCTGCATCTCGCCATCACAAGTTCTGAGGCAGCCAGACAAAGTGTCTACACGTCTGCCTTCATACCCAGTCTCACTAAAGTCTTCCTGTGTAGGCAGCTTTAATGCCACAGCTGTCTGATCGTCGGAATCAGCCTGCGAGTCTGTGGCCAGTAGAGGCTCCAGATCGGACAGTTTTAAAAAGTCTGTGAGAGAACCTGTTGTATTCTCCTTGTCCTCCTCCTCACGTGCATCCAGTGCTGCGAGGGTGACTGAGAACAGATTGACATTGCCGGAGCTGTCAAACATCACCTCCTCCTCCTCCTCTTCTTCCTCCTCCTCCACCACCTCAACTGTGACATGTCCCTGCACTGCAGTTTGACCCCCCTCAGGGATTAAAGACACCTCCTCTCCTTCAGCGTTGGCCGCGTGTTGATCGAGCCCCTCAAACGCAGCTACAGTTTCTGATACCTCCGAGTCCCCTGACGCAGCCAGCGGTCTGTTCCCTGACGAATCACCAGAGTCCTTGCAGGAACTTTGACCCGAGGAAAGCTCGGCGGGTCTATCCATGTAGATTTGTATCCCTTCTTCTTCATACTCATCTTCATCCTCTTCCTCCGAGTTAGCGCCCCCGTTGGCAGGTTGCCGCGGCGGGGGATTATTGTGATTCCTCTGTTTCTCCATCTTCGGGCTGATGGAGATCTGGTCTGGGGCTGTCTTCTCCGGCGTCAGGATGTGGCCTTGACTCAGAGCCGCCTAAAGAGGGAACAAAGAGACGAAGAGTCAGCTGGGGAAGGTGACGATGAGACAGTAGAAGAGATACGTTAACTTAAATACAGTAGGGTATCATCTATTCGCAGTCTATGGTACACACATCTTAAGTTTGGAACCTAACCCTTCTTACAGGGCAGTACTTGCTGTAACGGTCACATCATTTACAGACAGGCCTAGTATTACCACATTTAATTCTTTAACTTAGTTTTATTCCTCCCCAAAGCCACCAGACTGCTTTGACAAGAACAGTCCTTTAACCTCACAGCTCACAGGAGTTACTGGTCCACAGCAAATAACGTGTTAAAGCACCAAAGTCACACAAAAGGAGAAACACACTAACTGATCAAGGAAGTGGTGGACCAGCAGCAACTCCTGTGTTCTGCGACGTAAAATTTATCAATATAAACGCTTCCATTCCCTGTTGGAAATGGCTGTATGGCAGCAAGGTAAATGGTGTAAGTATTCTAAATATTGCATACACTTAAACTTATATTGATTTGTTTTAGGTGGCTAAAAATTACAATTGCCAACCAAAGAAAGTGATTCCAAAGGAAATGATTAACAATAGGGGTGTGCTTGACATAAACTGCTTCGTACTAAGAAATCTGAAGTGTGTGTAGTGGGTGCGATTGGTCCAGTTTTTCCTTATTCAGACAAGATACAGGCACAGATTTTGTGTTTATACTGAGTTCAATGCGGTATAAACGTAATTATGCAATATTGTGAGCACCACACCGACTCATCACTAAAGCTAAGTGAGCATGTTTTTTGTAATTCGGTCTAGGAGGCCACTTAAAATAGGAAGGAAAAAAAAAGGAATAGGTTGCCATGATAGATAGATAGATAGATATAGATTTTAGATAATAGGATGATAGAAGGTTTAGATAGATAGTTCTTACGTAGTTTCCGCTCCTGGCACTCGTTTTCTTTATGTTTAGCAGATAATCTCGCTGCTTACTTGAGGGAAATAGAATATTGCAGACCATCACGCCACGAAACAATGCTGAATCAGAAGAGCAGCACCTGCTACCTCAAAACAGCACCCCTTGGAGTGAGGACACACACATACCACACACACACAACACACACAACACACACACACAGTAATAAAGAATTCTTGTGTATTTCATAGCACTAGCATTTCCCTTTGATCTGCGCGTACAGGTTAACAATACAGGTTATTGTCTCGTCTGTGATGACCTCATTAGTAGATACCAACCTTTCCCATCGCTCTCCATACAGATGACAGCATCATCGTAACGTTACTTTAATGTAGAGTAACGCAGATCCAAATCAAATCAGAATTTATCTAAATGAACCAAATATGGTTTTACATTTATTTACTTATGGCAGTTGCAGTGGCCATTTAAGTTGCCATGGTTACTTATGAGATCAGTTCATCACGCACAGAGAATCACACTGACCATGGTTTGATTTTGCTAAACATGCGCGCCCAGCGAAATCGTGGAGAATATCAACTCAAAGACAGAGAACAGTGCATCGATCGTTGCAGCATATTCAAGCTGCTATATTCATTATTTTGGAGCAAACTATGCATAAACGTAGAGCCCGAGCAGCAATTCTCTAAATGTCAGTCCAGCATGCTTAATAAAAACAACCACACTACTGTCATAACAGCATTTAATATCAGCTCTAAAGGGTAAATCACCTCTCCTCGGTTCCACAGTTTTTTATAGTGTGAATTTATCTCCTCCCTCTTCAGTTATGTGTGCCCCTCCCCATGGTCTATGCCCTCTCTTCTATTAATATTAAAATAATTGTTCCAGTCTACCTACAACCAGGTTTCGCAAGATAACAAAACTCTTGTTTTCAGTGTTTGTTAGGGTTCCTCCTGCAAGGTCAAAATAATGGAAGGGAAAAATATTAATAAGATACAATTACCTATTTGAAGCCTTCATCTGGTGTGACCCAGCTATCCGTAACTGTTACATTTAATGCATCATTTTGTCACAAGGTATTTGGATTTAGATCCTTGGCGATTTACCCTGGACAAATTCAGACTTGTTATTCTCACCATACCCACTCATGGGATCCAACAACATACCTTTTGGGCATTTCAAACCCACTCCGCTGCGTGATTTCCAGGGTATAACTCAAAAAAATATA